TTAACATTTTATGTCTATAATACTAGTTAAACATGTTAATTTCGTGTTACCATACAAACGAGAAAATATAAAAAATGTTTGATGAACCAAGCCCAAGAGGCTCAAATCCACGTTGAAAGCCTAGTCATGATCAAGGCTCAAAATTACGAAGACCTAGTAGCCTTAACGAAGTTTAAGCCTAGTCAAACTCATCAGTTTGACTACGTTATTCAAGAGAGCTTAGGAGCCTTACCTGCACCGCCTTGGGAATAGTCAAACTTCACCTTATCCTTTGACCGAGAGTGTCGCAACCACCTCTCACGTTGAGGAGAAGTAGTGAGCTCCACTAAAATAGTTATGTAATGGCTATTAAGTTGTCTCAATCTGTTAGAGGGCGACTATAAATTGTAAGTCCCGCCAACACTTGGGGGGCATGATTATCATCAACACACTCTCACCTGAACACAACTCTCCTCTCTCTCTCTTAAAGCTTGTACTATCTACTCCCTACACCCTTGAGCTAATAAAGTACCAAGTGACCAAGCCCATTCAAAAGTGGACGAAGGTCACGTTGACCGAACCACTATAATTCTTGTTTTCTCTCTTTACTGATTAATTACTGTATTTATTATTGATACTTGACAGGTGGTGTGCAAAGTCAATTTTGTGCATCATCAGTTTGATGCCGTTTGTGAGAACGACAAAAGATTCTCACTTCTAAACATTATTTTTGTTGAATTTATGACGATCACCACCAAATCCATGAATCAGCTTAAGGATAACCAATCACGAGAGAAGGAGGTTGCTCCTCCACCAACCAATCCTGTCCCAAAATGCACATCAGATGCTGGAGACAATGCAGTAGTTTGTGGCCCAGAACCAATAGATCCTGTAACTCATGCTCACCGAACAAGCAGAAGCACAACTTAGAGAACCATAACTTGGAGCACCTGAAGTCATAGGAGCTCCGCGCCCTGGATATCAAGGAGCTCCACACCTTGGTGCTCCCCATCTAGGTGCCCCTTTTGGAGTCTCCTTGGGCGCCCAACGCATGGGAGCCTATCATGAGGGACCTCCACCTCTTGCTTCCTATGGTGAAGACCATCATCTCCAAGGGGATGATGGCGAAAAACAAAACATGGAGCATGAGAGTTATTTCTATGATCATTCCAGAGGAATCCCAAATTACTGGGATAAAAAAATTAAGGAAGTGCAAAATCAACTGGGTGACGTCTTCAACGCCATGAAGGCGCAGAAACCCAAGACAGTAGACTACCTTGTAAGGCGAACAGACACGCATTTCAAACCTGACGTGGTGAACTACCCACTTCCTCAGAAGTTTAAAATGTCCTCCGTAGAGACTTTTGACGGAATGAAGGATCCACTAGACCACCCCCAAAACTTACAAAACTCTAATGCAGCTGCACAATGTCCCCAACGAGATCATGTGTAGTGCGTTATCGACCATCTTGAAGGGATCCGCCAGACAATGGTTTGCCAAGCTCTCCCCAGTTTCCATTGCCTCCTTTGTTGAGTTGAGCAGGTATTTTGTGACACACTTTATCGGGGGGCACCGCCATCACAAGCCTGTTACCCACCTGCTCAGCATAAAGCCGGACCAAGACGAGAGTCTAAGGAATTACCTTACTCGTTTTAACGAGGAGGTCCTCTAGGTTGAGGAGCCCAATGACAAAGTAACTATGACAGCCTTCTTGGGAGGCCTCTGCTCGTCAAACTTCCTCTTCTCAGTGATGAAGCGACCACCAGAGAGCATGCCAGAACTATTGGCAAAAGCTCAAAAATATATGAATGCTAAGGAAATCAACAGGTCCAGGTGAGTTGAATCATCTCACGGATCTCCAAAAGCTTAACATGCCTCTGTACTGTTCTCAAACAGGCAGCCTACATCTCCAACTTAGCGGCTCTCTCGTGGGTCGCCAAAAGCTTGACCTCTGCACTGTTTTCAAACATGCAGCCTACATCTCCAGCTTAGTGGCTCTCTCACAGGTCGCCAAAAGCTTGACTTTTACACTGTTTTCAAACAGGCTGCCTACATCCCTAGTTTATCGGCTCTTTCGCAGGTCGCCAAAGGCTTGGCCTCTGTACTGTTTTCAACACAGACAACTTATACCTCAAGTTTAAAGACTCTCTCATGGGTCACCAAAAACTTGGTTTCAAAAAGTGTAACTCTCTCACGAGTAATCCTCAAACTTTGTCTTTGCTTTTGCGCAAGCAACCTACCTCTTTCTCCAAGTAATTATCTTTAGATATTTTAATGTTTGGAATAACATTATTTTTGTCATCTCTAGGCAGGAGCTTGAAACTTAAGATCATCTACAACCTAAAAGACTATATTAAATTGAATGTCAACAATCGAGTCTCATTCTTTTGTGTCTATGTGGCTCCGCTGCCTCATTGTCGCAGCACCCCTGTGCTTAACACTTGGCGTAAACAAGCTTTACTTGCGCTTGTCTCCCAAACAGCGCTCCTCAATCACTATCAGCAAAGTCGCCTACCAGCAGCGCCTCTCCAACAAGGCCCAACACCACAGGCGTCACTCCATCAGCGCCTAGTAATTGGTTTACTTGACCAATGACGTCCAACGATCCCTGCGTGTGCAACAGCCTATGCACAACCATCTCTGCAAGGCACAGGTAGCAGCGGCACCCAGGGCCTGCTCGCCTAGCCCTTGTATAATCTATTTCCTTGGTGCCCTGAAGCGCGTGAGCAGTTGCATCAGAAAGCCCTAGTAGCGCGTGAACAGGCTGCCAGCTCCTTATATTAGTTTCCAAAGTGGCACCCAAACTAGCCTGTTCACCCAAATTGGCCAAATCAGTGCCTAGAGGGGCGCCTACCCTGATCTGCTCGCCCAAACCAGTTGGAATAGCGCCTAGAGGGGGTGCCTGGCCTAATCTGCTCGCCCAAACCAACTGAATTAGCACCTAGAGGGGACACCTAACCCAATTTTCTTGCCCAAGACAGCCCCAGGCTCGCCCAAAAGCTGCTGCTCGCCAAAACCCGCGCACCTGCTTGCTATTTTGACCGTAAATTTTGCTCCATAACTTTAAACAGGGGCTTATTATATATCAAATCAAAACTCTTAGCAAGCCTTACTCGAAACCGATGTTTTGGCCAAAAAAGGCTCAGAAAAGGTCCAAAAAATGTCCAAAAAAAGCCCAGAAATCGATGTTTTGACCTCTCAAAGTTTTTTTTTTTTTTTTAAAAATAAATAATTCAGCTCGCCCAGGACATCTCCTGCTTGCCCTAGGACACTTCTTGCTCGCCCAGAGGCTGCCCTACTTGCCCAAACCGCTTGCCTAGATCTTTGTTCGAAGTTTTGAACGTAACTTTTGCTCCGTTACTCCAAATAAGACTTATAATATATCGAATCATTACTGATGGTGTAAAAGTCCAAAAATGGTTTGAAAGCAGATGTTTTGGCCTTCCAAAGTTTTTATAGTTGTGCGGTCAACCGAAAATTTGAACTTAATCGAATGCTCTCCTTTCTACGTTCCATTGGACACAGGGCATTGGAGGGTAAATGATGGACCAAGCCCAATAGGCCCAAATTCATGTTGAAAGCCAATCATGATCAAGGACTCAAAATTACGAAGAGCCAACAGGCCCAACGAAGTCCAAGCCCAGTTAAACTCATCAGCTTGACTACGTTATCAAGAGCCTCACCTGCACCACCTTGGGAATAGTCAAATCTCACCTCATCTTTTGACTAAGTCTCATGGACATCGCTGCAACCACCTCGCACGTTGAGGAGAAGTCATGAGCTCCACCAGAATAGTTATGTAGTGGCTATTAAGTCGCCCTAATCTGTTAGGGAGCGACTATAAATTGTAAGCCCCACCAACACTTGGGGGGCATGATCATCATCAACACACTCTCACCTGAGCACAACTCTTCTCTCCCTCTTAAAACTTGTACTCTCTGCTCCCTACGCCCTTGAGCTAATAAAGTAACAGGTGACCAAAGTCATGCAAAAGTGAACGTAAGTCACGTTGACTGAACCACTATAATTCTTGTCTTCTCTCTTTACTGATTAATTACTGCATTTATTATTGATACTTGACAAGTGGTGTGTAAAACCAATTTTGTGCATCATCAGTGTTTATTGTTATTTGATTTTATGAACTGCTTCTTGTTCAAAAAAAATAAATTTATGAGCTTCTTTTAGTCGAAATTTTCCTTTTGGGTTATGGAATTTGAAGTCTTGCGCTTTTTACTATTTTGGGTTTCGTAGTTAGAGGTAGCTATAAATCACGAACTCAACTAGTGGATCAATCTTCCCTCGATGGTCCTTTGTCCGTTGTTCACGATTAACTATTGTTATACTCCTCTGGTCTTTTATTTTGTTTTTCCTATTTCCTATTTTTTGTTTGGCCGCCGGGAAAAAAGATTGAGGTTTTTTTTCTCTTATGAATTTTTTTAAAAAAATAATGGTTAGAGATATTTAGACTGCGAGTTGCTATTGTGCCTCTGTTTCAATGGGTCAACTCTGTTATGTATAATGAGTTCTTCAATTTTTATTATTCTGTCTTTTTTCTTAAAAGAATCAAAACAATGAAAATTTGGATATGCAGATTGTATGCAATGTGGATTGAACAGATGTGAATGTGGATCTTCTACCTGGATTGATCAATAGTTATACTTTTCATTGAAAATTTCAAGATTTGTGGTATTATAAAGTTATTTTTTTGACATTTTTCTATTTTGTGATGGTTTATAGCCTTATCTTGATGTTACACATGAACTATAATTTAAGATGGTTCACGCGCAAACACGCGTGTGCACCAACTAGTATTATAAAACATCTATAGACACTAAATTACTTACCATTTATTTACATTTGTGCTCGATTTTCAAATATCTAAAACAATATATAATTATAAATCTATATAAATGTAATCAATTAATAATATTTTATATTTGTTCTAGGTTTAGTATTATAATTTAGGGTCATAATTTTGATGATTTGGATCACAAATGCATTTCATTTAAGATCAATGTATCCAGATCGTTGGTTGTTTAGTAAATTATTGTAAACCAATCAGCTTGCCAATCAAGAATAAATTTCAGCCTTTTCAGCAGTGAACTGTGAACCTATCTTACATGACAAGTGTGGGTTTCATTCTTCAACTGGATCCAAGATTGACCAGGGCCCTTTTTAATTCCCCTTTCTTGCATCAAACCCCTAAGTTTAGCTGCTTCGCTCCATCTATGATTGGCTGCACAAGTGTTTGATAACAATACATAAGGTCCGGCTTCAGACGGATCCAATTCAAGTAATTTTTCAGAAGCCCATCTTGCTATATCCATATTCTTGTGAATTTGGCAAGAAGACAACAATGCTTTCCAAACTGCACTCGGATGAGAGAGGCTACTTTTTTGAATAAAATCCTTTATCTCATCCAAGCAACCAGCACGGGCAAAAAGATCTACCACACAAGTGTAGTGTTCAATTTCAGGCTCGATGCCATAAACTTCTTTCATCAACCTAAAATATACACAACCTTCTTCTAATAAACCTGCATGACTACATGCAGTTAGAACCCCTACAAAACTCACCTTGTTCGGTGTAATACCCTCACTCAGCATTAACTCAAACAGCTGAATAGCTTCTCTAGCTTGCCCATGTAAAGCACAGCTGGTTATTATAGATGTCCATAAAACAATATTCCGACTGTTAGTTTTACTGAAAAATGACCAAGCATCATCTAGCTTTCCACATTTGGCATACATGTCAATCATCGATGAGCTCAAGAAAACATCTGGTATGTGTCCAAACTTCAGAATACAGGCATGGATCTGTTGACCAAGTTCCAAAAGTCCAGCATTAGCAGATGCGATAACAATGCTTGTAAGGGTGTACGTGCCCAGCTCAACTTGTTCCCTAACCAGACTCCTAAAAATTTTCAAAGCATCTTCTGCCATACCCTTTCGAACATACCCAGCAATCAATGAACTCAACGAAATAGATTCTGCCTCAGAATCATCACACATAATCTTGAAATTATGTGGTGTCGTCATATGCAGAGGCAAATTTTGGAAAATTGCTGAAGCCTTCTCCATCTGCCCGCATTTGCAATACACATCAATAAGTGAAGTCCTTACAAAACCATCTTCATGGATTCCAACCCTCAGCGCCCTTCCATGGATTTGTCTCCCTAATTCCAAAAGCTTCAAAGAAGACACCAGTACTAATGCTATCGAGAAAGTAACATGGTTGAAAGCAGGTCCAATATTTACCATCTGATAGAGAAGCTGCAGTGCAATTCTTCCATAACCATTTCGCAAAAGCCCATCAACTAGGGTGTTCCAACTTGAAACATTCTTGTTGGGCAAAATTCTAAACAAATCAATAGACTTCTCTATATCTCCCATCCCTAAGTACGCTCCCATCATTATATTCCATGAAACCGTATCTTTATCAAACATCAACTCAAATAATCTTTCCCCAAAATCAAAAGCCCCGCATTTCATGTAAAAATCAAGAATAGAGTTCAACAATGCAATATCTAAAGCAGTCCCATAACATATTATCCTACCATGAATTACCTTACCGATACGAAGCTCCTTTAAATTCGAACAGCACTTCAAGACGCTGGAAAAAGTGAATTCGTTCGGACTAACACCTTCTTTTTCCATCTGGGTCAATAAATTCAGCGATTTCCTGTAAAATCCATTTCTAACAAAACCCGAAATAAGCATTGTCCAGGAACGGACATCTCTTTGGAGAATTTCATCAAACAGCTTCTGTGCATTGGTCAATTCTTGATCTTTGATGTAAAAATTCAAAATATGGTTATATGCATACAAATGTTGAATATAACCATTCTTGATCACTTCGGCGTGAAAGATCTCAATAGGCAACATTTTTTTCGCCGAACCATTAAACGAATCCACCAATATGGGTTGTGGATTTTCGAATTGAGGTGGGTTTGTGATGCTTCTGGTTATGATAAGTAAACATAAAAAATGAGGACATCCAGAGATTACATGACTGCAATTGCAAAGATAGCCAAACCTCCGATGGTTCCATTTCATTATGCCACCAGCTAAGTGACCAAACAAAGCACTCAGGTGCATCTATTATACCTTTCTGGGCCTTTGGCTAAGATGAAGTATTAGTCATACGGATTTTCAGCCGGTGGCAGCTGCAAGGAGCATTTTATCCATCGGGTAGGTTCATGCACTTTTTTGCCACAAGTTCCGACATTCCGGCCGGCGACATGGGTTCTCTAGAACTTATTCCTACCAGATAATTCACACGTGCAATCAATTTGAATCGTAGCTTCAATTAGGTTCATGGACTTTTTTGTCCACAAGTTCCGACATTCCTTACTATTTGGTTCACGCGTGCAACAAATTTGTCAGGCTCATGAACTTTTTGTCCACAAGTTCTGGCATTTTGGCCCGCCACAGGTATTATCGTGAACTTATTCCTATTAATTGCTTCACACGTGCTATCAATTCAAATTAAAATTAAAATTTTTAGTTTTATATTTTTTGTTCAAAACGAGGATTTGAGCCAAAAAAAAAAAAAAAAAGGGGTATATGTGTTTGAAGATGTAGTCTTTGTTAAACGACAAAAATTGAAACACAAAGAAAGCGATAGAAGAGTATTTAGTACACATGATTGTCTACCTCATTATATACAATCCTACGGTTTGCTACAACAAATATTTATTTATTTTAAAAAATTAAATTTTACTTCTATAAATCTAATTTGTCACATGATTAAGTCTTTTTTCTCCTAAATCTATATAGTAACTATTCCAATTTTAACTTTTAATGTATCTCGAGCATAATGCTATATTCAAAATCATCTATTCAAAATAAACCATATATTTTGAGCTAAAGTAAAATGTAACCATAAGATGCAAATAATATTCTTCACATGCACATACCCAAATATTAAAAAAAAAATTGGTGCATTTATTTGTTTCACCTACAAAGCAAAAATATTTTGAAAATAAAATGAAAACAAATGAAAAATTTAAAAATTTAGTTCAAAAAAATTCTAAAACATATATCAAATATATTAAAACAACTCAAAATAGTCCAAAATGTTGGTAGAAACGTGCTAAAATTTGTCAAAATATTTCAAAATACATGAAAAATTTTAGAATGTTATTCAATCACTTATTTGTTTTGGCCTCCTTGAAGACAGACATGTGTTGACCGCTTCATTTTTTTTTTTTTTTGATCCTTGCAGATACCTCTATACAACGTAAGTTCATAATTGAGGTAAATGAAATCAATCTATTATTCAAATTATCCTAATTATATTCTACACAATGTAAGTTCATTCAGAGTGGATATTAAAAGAAATAATTGACTTTGGTTTCATCTAGTGGTTCTCGAAAAAAACAATTGAAAATTGAAAAAGATGAATGTTCTAGTTTTAAGAGTTTTAAAGGGAAGAACAAATTTTTTTCTAATAACCTCAAAAGAAACAAAAAATTGGGTCATCAAAAGTGTTTTATTTATAAAAAGAATAAGAAAAACACTTTCAAAAGTAAATCAAATTATATTATTTAGATTGGAAGAAGATCTTCAATGTCTTTGAAAGATTTGAAATGGAATTTTTTTAACCTATCAAAAAATACCATCTATGTAATCGTTCCAAAGAGGGAATTGAAACTTGAATACAATGTAAGTTCTTAATTAAGGTAAATAAAATTAATCTATTATTTAAATTATCCTAATTATATTCTACACAATGTAAGTAGGGATATCAATACACTGAAGAGGGGGCAGGGGGTATAGTCTTCATCTCCGTACCCGCTTAAAAAATCTTCGTCCATCCCCGGTCCACTCCCGTTAACGGGTATAATTTTCATCCCCATCCCCGTCTGCGGGTAAATTTCTAATCCCCGTCTCCGTTCCCGTCCCCACTTCCCCCGTACCCGCCCAAACCCAAGTTTCAGTCAACATAATCCAAAATTCTAAATAAATCCAACATTTTAAATAATCCAACAACATTCTAATTAATTTAATATAATCTAAAACAACATAATGTAACATAACATATTCCAACACAACACAAACAACAAATGTCCAAAAAACTAGAGGTCTACTGCAACATCTCACAGAAACCAGAGGCTAGCAAAAATCTAAGGCTTTTGGGCAACAAAGTGCTTATGAAAGAGATCTCATAGCTATTATCCTGTCACAAAGGCAGCCTCCTAGGAGCCAATAATCTTGTCACAAAGGCTGCCTTCTAGGAGCCAAACAGATTCATATATGAAACGTGGTTCAAACTTGTAGTTATTGTTCTAGAGCTCTCTCAATTCTCCCAAGGCTCCAAAACCACGGAGGGCCCTGTATTGTAACCAGTAATATCATAGTCATTGATATTAACTAAAAATGTTGTTATGTGTCATTTGAAATATCACTTTTTTATATAATCATGTTTTCCTGCCTATTTTTGTGAGTAGCATGATTAATTCAATATTTAATACATCAATGATTATGATATTACTGGTTACAATACATGGCCCTCTGTGATATTAACGGGTAACGAGGACGGGGCGGGGGTAAGGGTAAGTCCGTCCCCGCCTTCATCCTCACAAGGGTATCCCCATATACATCCATCATCCAATACGTATAGTCCATCTCCGGTCTAAACAGGGCGATTTTGGACGAATACTCGTTTTTTCCCGGTCCACTGCCATCCCTAAATGTAAGTCCATACAGAGTGGATAATGATAGGCAAATTAAAAAGGGTAGTCTGCTTTGCTTTCATCCATGCTTAAGAAAAGAACTGAATAAAAGATCTCAGCAAGATTTGAAAGATTTAAAATGTCACATGATCAATCTTCATAAGGATCACAAAAGGAAAAATAGCAGCAAACCTTACATATCTCATACTAGTAAAAAGAAACTAAAAACATATCCCACAAGGAGAAAAGAATACACAGGAAAAGAATTTCTGGTAAGAGTGTGTCATAATAATCAATGGAACATCAGCTGCACTTCAATGGTCTCAGTTAAAGTATGAGTCAAGATTTCTACTTTCTCTTCGGTTTCTTGGGCTTTGGAGGCTGGAGAACCACATTGATTGCAGCATCAAAGGCAACCTTCTCATTCTGCAATTTACAAAAGAAAAAAAAATATTTTTCAGCTCGATGCTATCTAAACCAAATTTGTGGAAGAATGGCTCATACTTATCTTCCGAGACTCGTACTTGCTACCACCTTATGATTTGACTTCATTAAACATTCTTTCATTAGCTAACCTCATGCCATAATTTTAGTAATTATTGTTGGACCAAAATAGTTTTTTAAGTATAAAAACTAAATTTTTGGTCGACTTTGAGCCTAAATTAAAGTAGGACCCGTTCGTTGTTTTGAGTGAAATTTTGTAGGTTCATATTCTACTCTGTGAGGAGAATAATGTAGTATATTCATTTACTTAAATCGAGTAATAAATGAGTGAGAAAATAGGCTCCAAAGTGACCCTCTTAAAATATGAAAATAAAATTTGTTCGATGTGGGATTTGACACTAATTCTACATTGGTTGAGGAAAAAATTCAACATGGGTATATATAGGCCAAGTTTGCTCTATAAGATTAGGCCCTAAGGGACACCATAGTTTTATGAGCGAAGCGAGTACCTACATGCCTTCAGTTCAACGACTCAGCCCAAGTGTGGGTGTGGTCCAAGCCTTATCTTTTTAGAGAAAATTTATTAATTAATTAGGCAAAAATTTCTAAACTGAAATTTAATTTTCGGTACCCGTTGAATCGCACTGGTTCGGATTTGTTACTTCCCTCTAATCCAAAATTTGAGTCCAGTCCAAAAATTTTAAGTTGTGTCTGTTCATAGAGAACAATTACTCAAAATATCTTCTGACTGTTGCATTTCATCTTCTGAGTTGTGTCTTTTAGTGTGGTGACTGTCCGAAAAGTCACCAAAATGTCTATAAGTAACCAGTCTCATTACTATTTTGCATTGAATTCATTAATCAATCCACTTTCGGCATTAAGCCAGACATTAGAGCATAACATTTCGGCATTAAGACAGTTTGTATTTGAAGAGTACACAACACAATTTTTGGTTCGCTGGACGAGTAGATTGGAATGCTACGTCTACTCGTGTAAAGATTATTGTATCCTGGGAGGCAGACGCTCGATATTCTATAAGCACTGTGTGTGAGGGTGAAATCTGTTTTAAGAACATAGTGTCAAACACTAGTCCCGATCTATGTCAAGTTCAATAACAGTTCCTGTTCTACAACCGGGTTAGTATTTATATTAGTTTGACAAAACATTACGTGTAACTCTTTCGTTTCTGTGTAACTATTTACTGTTACTGTTCCGTTAGAGTAACTTGTTTATGTGTAACTCTTTACTGATACTGTTCTGTTAGAGTAACTCGTTTATGTGTAACTCTTTACATAGTTCAAATCAAAAATTTTAATAAGTGATTTTACAATATTTGGAACCCACAAACAATAATTATCAATCAAATATAAAGCCAATTAGTTAAAATGGTGTTCTGATTTTTATATGCAAGATATGCAGAACAATCAACACCCCCTGGGATAAAATGGTTCTAAATCTAGTATCATTTTAGGAAAAGTTGAGGTAAATATGTTTTAACTATTTCTTGATCATGATTTATTTCAGCAATTTTAGTTCCTTTTTCCAGGTGAGATGATTCACAAGCAAAGCAAGCAACTTCTCAATGGAAAATGACTTGTTTCACTGATTTTGCCATCACTGTGACACCCATGGTGTAGATTATTGGCATGTTCAAACATTTGAGATTCTTGATACACTCAGATATCCTCTAATCAACGAACAATTTCAGACTATCCATAACCTATATATATTCAACAAATGTATTGTGCAAGAAATTATACAGGCAATGGATAAACATTCTGTGTCAAATTGGCCATGTAGCATAGAATATTAGACATTGTTGAATATCTAAAAGAGGTAATGCTATTTATTTATTTGAACCAAATACTATATCAGAACTCAAAAGTGGTGCCATTAGCACTTCATGTATGGCCTGAACAACTCTAAACAGAATGACATTGCTTGCAATGCTGTCTTATCAAACTAAGCCATAGGGCAATAATTTCCCATCCTGAACATAACTATGCACATTTGCTCACCTGATTTCTTTATCTCCTTCATTAATATAGTGACACGTCCCTCCAACTCGCCCCTCTCCTTTGTTTCTGATAGTAATAGACCTATATCTAAGTGCATTATGCGTTTTGCCTGAACATT